TCTTAAGTCCTGGGGTCATCTATACTTTACAGGAAAGGCAGCTGCTACATGTGAAACTGTGCTGACATCTTTTCTATTTCATAGAACATGATACAAACCTGTAAAACCTTACAGTTTGTCCATAGATGGACTTTAATATGAATATTTAAACAAAAAGAAAGCATACCAGCATTATGCAAATTTTCAATTACACTTGATCAGGAATTGTCTCCTATACTCACATTGAAAAAAAAAACAAAACATCACATTCATCTGAGTTGAGGCTTGCTCAATACCCAGCTACAGATGACCAAACGTATAATCCATCTAGGATAATATAGTCACTACCATTGAAGTACTTGATACTGATATGTATTGAGGATAACCCACTTTTCCTCAGAGCTACCCAACCTTGTTCAGTGTCTCATAAAAAAAAAAAAAGATACTTTCCACTGGTATACAGAGGGGTCACAAGATAGAGTGACCTGTGTTATTAATTTTTCTCTAATAGTTACTTCACACAGATTAGTATTCACTGGGGGAGATTTACTAAAACTGATGCACACAGAATCTGGTGCAGCTGTGCACAGTAACCAATCAGCTTCTAGGTTTTATTGTTAAAGCATAATTGAACAAGCTGATATTAGAACCAATCAGCTTCTAATTTTAGCTTGTTTAACCTCCCTGGCGGTCTGATTATGTCAATATTTTTGAATGTCAAAGCGGTACATTGTTTTACATGGAAATTTGTTGTTTTACTTTGTAGGCCTGTAATTCTTAGGAATAACTCACTTAAATCTGTCCAAGCAAGAGTCTAGTAAACATCCAGGGTATGATAAAGTTTGAAACATAAAATCATAAATTATAATATACTAAATAATTATAAAAAATAATATTATAATACTAATGAATTCAATTTAATTCAATAATCAAACCAAAAACACAGAATTTTTTCCAAACAAGGGTGCAATATTACTAGACAATGCATATTGGTTTAGTAAACATCCCGGTTATGAAAAAGTTTGAAACATGGGACTGCACAAAGTCCAACGTCACAATCAGGTGCTGCTTGATCCGTACCACAGTCAATAGAGCACCAAGTTCACACATCATTGAGCTTAGTCACAGAACCGTCGCTGTTGTCACTTTCAGTGTCTGATGATGAATTTCCCCATGAATCTCGATTGTGCAAGTGATTCTAATTCACTGTCGCTGTTTTCTAGCGTGTCCAAAATCACTTTTGACCTAAAGGGACGCTTTTTGGATGCCATAGACGTTCTCAAGTTTCCAGGCAGAAAGAACGGTAAAAGTTCAGGCAGAGCACTGGACAAAGCACTAGGGACAAAACAGATTACAATGTATTGTGCGTATGTCATATTTTGTTTACTTTTTTAATCTCCTGCTGGTTCCGCCCCGTGTGTCACTGTGCTTGCTGGGAAGGAATCCCGGAAGACGGATGCCGACATCGGCCAGAGGACACAGTGGGAGGACATTGGGGGATCGCAGGGACAAGGTAAGTTACACTACAGTGTAATCCCGAGTGTGGCTGGGGGTTACTGCTTTTGTTACTGAAAATGAACCCCAAGCTACACTCAAGATTACCTTCAGGGAGGTTAAAAAAGCTTTGACAATAAAACCTAGATGCTGATTGGTTACTGTGCACAGCTGCACCAGATTCTGTGTGCATCAGTGTTAGTAAATCTCCCCCATTGTGTCAATGTAAACATGATATAATGCATTTACATCTTTCTGGTTTCAGTTTTTTTCTGTATCTTATAACTTCTGACCTCCAAACAGATTGTTATGGTAAGTACTGGAAGCAATGATCACTCTCCACTGCTGGAAGTTTTGTTTTCATGTAACTCAAGCAGACAACATAAAGAAAACTCTCCAAATAAGGTAAATAATGTTCAAAAAAAATCCCCTTGTTCCTTGATCATTTTATTAACATTGATGTCTATTTGCACTTGCATTGAATGTGACCTCTAGGTACCCGCATGCCCACCACCTGGTCTTTGTAGTATGTGTAAACTAGCAGCGCTGCTAGCTTTTGGCTTGAAATGCATTGTGCTCATTACACCCGTTCATGTATATTTTGTTGCTGTACTTCTGAGAGTAAACCACACATAAAACTTGGCAGGTGTGGGGAATATGTATACCTCCCCTGTATTGTGGCATGAGGACACATGCTCCAGCTACACCCTCCACAGAGATGAAGACATTCGCTTTGCCAGTTATGACATTAGAAGAGTTGCAATGGAACTCTGCTGTACATTTATGGATGTTCCTACCTTAATGTTACTGACATTCCTGCAAGTTTTCAGATAATGTGTTCTGTTCATTGTGAGGTATAGGCCACAATAATGTAATAATGCCATTTTATATCCATGATGTTAATTTGGTATTCCAAATATTGAAACAGTCACTGTATGCCTTTTGGAGGCAGGATGTGATCTGCGTTATAGACAGAACTTATCCAATCTATAGTCCTGCAGTCAAGTTTGCAGCGAATGTTGGCTTCCAGATATATCAAATGGCTAGTTGCATTTTAATGGTGTTGGTGAAAGGCTACACACGCCTATATAAAAAGGAGTTCTAGTTACTTTTTGCATTTGTAAAAATAACAGTTTAAGTAATTTCAGAGGGCTGTGCTTACCCTGAGCGAGTCTAGACCCCTTAGGATTTACCTGACCTTTAAAGCCCAAATCCAGTTTTTGTTTTGAAAAGAGTGGGTAAGAGTCACCAGATTGAGGAAACAGATTAGTAAAATCCTGGAGCTGTTCTATCCCAGTACACTTTGCTAAAATTGCTTTAGTTGTTGTCTCTGTCCACATCCAAGAGGTCCCATCATTTTCTGACCTAGTAACTCCTAGCAGAGTCACAGACAGCAATAAAGACTGGACAGAGGTATCAGAGAAGAGCTTGGAATAGGTAATCAGTGGGGAAAAAAATTATAGAATGCCAAGTCCATTTCCAAGGCTCAATGACCCTGGTAAGGCTGCTTGTGTCAGACAGGGTCACACTAATTCGTGTACCCAGAATCCGAATCCAGAAATATTAAGGTGACCTAAAGAGCACCAGACCAAAAATTAATGCAAGGGAGCTATAACTGTTCAAATAATTGTAAAAAAAAAAAAAAAAAAGCCCGAGTTTTAGAGTCTGAAAGCTCTTGGATACTTGGATGTTATGTACAGTGAAGGAAATAAGTATTTGATCACCTGCTGATTTTTAATGTTTGCCCACTCACAAAGAAATAATCAGTCTAAAAATTGAATGGTAGGTGTATTGTAACACTGAGAGACAGAATAGTAACAAAAAATTCAAAATAAATGCATGTCTAACAGATTATGCACTGATTTGCATGTTCATGAGGGAAATAAGTATTTGATCCCCTTCACATAAAAATTGACTTAGTACTTGGTGGCAAATTCCTTGTTGGCAATCACAGAGGTCAGACGTTTCCTGTAGTTGGCCACCAGGTTTGCACACATCTCAGAAAGGATTTTGGCCCACTCCTCTTGGCAGATCTTCTCCAAGTCTTTAAGGTTTGGTGGCTGACGTCTGGCAACTCGAACTTTCAGCTCCCTCCAAAGATTTTCAATCGGATTAAGGTCTGGAGACTGGCTAGGCCACTCCAGGACCTTAATGTGCTTCTTCTAGAGCCACTCCTTTGTTGCCTTGGTCGTGTGTTTTGGGTCATTGTCATGCTGAAACACCCATCTACGACCTATTTTCAATGCCCTGGCTGAGGGAAGAAGGTTCCTACTCCAGATTTAACGGTACATTGTCCCGTCCATCGTCTCTTTGATGTGGTGCAGTTGTCCTGTCCCCTTAGACAAAGAGCCAAAGAGCTCGATTTTGGTCTCATCTGACAACAACACATTCAACCAGTCCTCCTCTGCATCATTCAGATGTTCAGTGGCAAACTTCAGACGGGCCTGGACATGTGCTTTCTTGAGCAGAGGGACCTTGCGGGCACTACAGAATTTCAATCATTGTCGGCGTAGTGTGTTCCAATTGTTTTCTTGGTGACTGTGGTCCCAGCTGCCTGGAGATCATTGAAAAGATCCTCACGTGTAGTTCTGGGATGATTCCTCACTGTTCTCATGATCATTGACACTCCACGAGTTGATATCTTGCATGGTGCACCAGACCTAGGGAGACTGACAGTTGTTTTGTCTTTCTTCCATTTGCAAATGATTGCACCAACTGTTGTCACCTTCTCACCAAGCTGCTTGGCGATAGTTTGGTAGCCCAGTCCAGCCTTGTGTAGCATTGTGTCCCTGACATCCTTGGACAGCTCTTTGGTCTTTGCCATGGTGGAGAGTTTTGTAATCTGATTGATTGCTCCTATGAACAGGTGTCTTTTATACAGGTAACAAAATGAGATTAGCAGCACTCCCTTTAAGAGACTGCGTCTAATCTCAGCCTGTTACCTGTATGAAAGACACCTGGTAGCCAGAAATCCTGCTGAATGATAGGGGATCAAATACTTATTTCCCTCATGAACATGCAAATCAGTACATAAGTTGTTAGACATGCATTTCTTTTGAATTTTTTGTTGCTATTCTGTCTCTCAGTGTTACAATACACCAACCATTCAATTTTTAGACTGATCATTTCTTTGTGAGTGGGCAAATGCACTTTACCACAATGCAACAATACATTATATTGCCAAAAGTCTTGGGACGCCTGCCTTTAAACACACATGAATTTTATTGGCTTCTCAGTCTTAGTCCGTAGGGTTCATTATTCAGTTGGCCCACCCTTTGCACCGATAACAGCTTCAACTCTTGTAGGAAGGCTATCCACAAGGTTTAGGAGTGTGTCTATGGGAATGTTTGACCATTCTTCCAGAAGCACATTTGTGAGGTCAGGCACTGAAGGCCTGGCTCGCGGTCTCCTCTCTAATTCATCCCAAAGGTATTCTATCGGGTTGAGGTTAAGACTCTGTGCAGGCCAGTCAAGTTCCTCCACCCCAAACTCACTCATCCATGTCTTTATGGACCTTGGGAGCATATAATTGTCCAAAATGTCTTGGTATGCTGACGCCTTAAGAGTTCCCTTTACTGGAACTAAGGTGCCAAGCCCAACCCCTGAAAAACAACCCCACACGATAATCCCCCCTCCACCAAACTTTACACTTGGCACAATACAGTCAGGCAAGTACCATTCTCCTGGCAACCGCCAAACTCAGACACATCCATCAGATTGCCAAAGAAGCACGATTCGTCACTCCAGAGCACACATCTCCACTACTCTAGAGTCCAGTGGTGGCGTGCTTTACACCACTGCATCCGTCGCTTTTCATTGCACTTGGTGATGTTAGGCTTGGAAGAAGCTGCTTTCTATGCACTGCTGTGTTACTGTGAAGGCCACACAAAGTTTGAAGGTCTTTAGCTATTGACTCTGCAGACAGTTGGTGACTTCTACGCACTGTGCACTTCAGCATGCACTCACCGCACTCTGTCATTTTATGTGGCCCACCACTTTGTGGTTGAGTTGCTGTTGTTCCCAGTTGCTTCCACTTTGTTATAATACCACTAACAATTGACCATGGAATATTTAGTAGTAAGGAAATGTCATGGATGGAGTTATTGCAAAGGTGGAAACTTATCACGGTACCACGCTTGAAATCACTGCGCTCCTGAGAGTGACATATTCTTTCAGAAATGTTTGTAGAAGCAGTCTGCATGTCTAGGTGTTTGATTTTATACACCTGTGACCATGGAGGTGATTGGAACACCTGAATCACATGATTTGGAGGGGTGTCCCAATACTTTTTTATAGTGTATATATGCACCCTTAGTCACTGTTTAGCCATTACATGTACAGTATTTCTTAGGTTCAGTATGATCTAAATTTACAGACACTTTGGTAATTGGCTTCCACATTTTTTACTAAATACAAAATTTTGTATACATTTTTAAAATAGATAAGTGCTGGAGAATGTTCGGTACGCTTGTGAAGAAGTCACCCAGAGTTGTTATTTCCTTTCAGGCTGATGCACACACATCTCAGAATTCTGGTCTTGTAGCGGTACTGCTCAGGGCAATGGTAAATAGCTGCTTGTCATTCACTGTAAATAGAGGAATACAGTGGACACAAAGAAGCCTTACAGTGCCCTCCAAGAAGTGTCTCCATGGAGACATGCTCCGTTGTACAGGTATTTTCTTTTTGCTATTCAGAGTAAAAAGACCTGACACCCCAAAGAAATGTCAAATTCCAGCAAAGTTTATGTTCTGTATCTCTCATTCATTACACAGGATGGGGTCATATACAATATCAGAAGGAACCTAGTCACTCCGTATTTGGGCCTGTATATCCACTGACATCAAGCCTGTCTGTATTTCCAACTCATTTACAGTGTAGTAATCACTTGGTGACATTATAACTGTCAAATCAATCACAATACGTGTGAACAAGGCATGTCACTGACTGGATAATTTAATATCCTGGAACTCCCAGCTCAGGGCTGACCTCTTCTTCAACTTTAGTTTACAGAAGATAGAATGTTCTTCGTCCTTCTACTAATGATCTTCAGAAGACCTTTATTTACCCAGTCACCATTCAATGCCAAAAGACAGTGCTCTTTCATATGCTAGAAAAATGACATTAGGAGTCTGTCCTGCTATTGTGGGCACAAGAAAAGTTGAGAGACACTGTTATATATGTGGCAAAATGTCTGTCCCCTTGTTGGCTGCATGCGTTTCCTTTTTGTAGTTCTGTGAATTGGTAAGTAGGGAAGGTACTCTGGCTGTGTTGTTGGGAGTGCAGAGAACTATATTGTACAGTAGTAGAATAACCTGAATTCTGCTGTTTACCAATGTAATAGATATCACATGAAAAAGAGAGTGTTTTTACTGGTTAACCATAACTGACATCCCAGCTGAAGAGATTTCAGAAGTTATCCTAACACAGAACAAAACTATAAGACTTTAAAGGTGCCATACATTTGAAGTGGTTAAAATCAAACATATTGTTATTGTAGAACAAGTATTAAAAATAGAGCTTATATGCATACAGTTTAATACAACAAACATACATACAGCATGATGTTCATCCTGTTTTGATATCAAATATTTCTCCCAAACTTCCCAATACACAATATTTTTCATATATTTATGTGTACAAATATTTTCATCTGACAAGGTATACAGTTGTGCTCAAAAGTTTGCATACCCTTGAAGAATTGATAAAATCTAGTATGTAGACTAAATCATATAAATATCCTCCTGCGCTCTTATGGTGAATAGTAAATAAAGCTAGGAAGCGGCCAGCATCTGTCCCACACCAAACAAAGGCAATATGAATAAAATGTAAAATTGATGCAGCGCTAAAAGAACAAAACACTAAAAACTAAATAACCAAATGGTATATACAGGTATTAGTATAGATATTAACATGACCCAAATCCACCTAGGGATGAGCAGAAGACAGTGGCCCTTAATAGGCTAATAGTAGTGGTTAAGTGCAGGATAAAGTGTCCATAGTTCATATATCTACAGGGGTGCAGGTGAATCACAGCACACTTCAAAAACGTGATCCCGGGCAGTCTTGCTGCAATGGCCTCTCACCTCCACTCTATGACCCTACAGGGCCATAAAGCATAATGTAGATCACCACGGAATCCTCCAATTCAGGGACTCTTTTGGTAGATTGGCATCACATGAACAAGGATAGAATTCCTCCAGGCCAGTAGGTAAACAGAAAGCACTCTCCTCCGATGTCACAACCGCTCATAAGCTCATAAATGAGGGGATAAACACAATCCTCATAGTGTATTACCGCTTTATTTGTAAAAAGTCAGCAGATAACCAAACAAACAAAGAAGGTAATCCACTTACATGACAAGACGGCTTGTATGGAGATAGCAATAGTATGTACCATTTTTAAAGAAATCATGAGTGAGCAGCGAAATACATTTATTTGTTATAGGATTCATTTTTAACTGTAAGTCATAACAGAATGGCACAATACCAAAACAAGACATGGCAACAAGTAATGAAGTGACCCTTCTTCAAAATCGGAATACCCTTAGTTCTTTATACTGTGTATTGCCCTCTTTAGCATCAGTGACCACATGCATTCTTTTTGTAATAGTTGTCTATGAAGCCCTGAATTCATGAAGGTGGTATAGCTGCCTGTTCGTGGCTAGATGATATTAGGGAAGGAGACTGTGTTGGCCATTCCAGAACCTTCATCTTTTTTTGCTTTAACCGCTGGAGGGTCAACTTGGCCTTGTGCTTAGGGTCATTGTCGAAGTGAAAATTCCAGGAAAGTCCCTTGTGCAGCTTTCGTACAGAAGAATACAGATTGCCAGTCTTTTCTGATAACATGTTGCATTCATCTTTCCATCAATTTTCACAAGATTCCCTGTGCCTTTAGAGATCACACACCCCTAAAACATCAGTGAGCCCCACCACCATGCTTCGCAGTGGGGATGGTATTCTTGTCACTATAGGCCTTGTTTACCCCTCTTCAAACATGGTTGTGACCATAAAGCTCTATTTTGATCTCGTCATTTCAGATTACAATGTGCCAGAAGCCGTGAGGCATGCCAAGGTGTTGTTAGGCATATCGTAACCGGGCTTGTTTGTGCTATTTTTTTCTGGCAACTCAACCATGCAGCTCATTTTTGTTCAAGTATTATCAAATTGTGCTCCTTGAAACAACCACATCGTATTTGTTCAGAGCAGCCAGTATTTCTCCTGAGGTTACCTGTGGGTTTTTCTTTGTATCCCAAATCTTTCTTGGTCTACCTGACCTTGGCTTGGTATCAAAAGATCCCCAAATTTCCTGCTTCTTAATAAGTGATTGGCATGTTCAAGGCTTTGGATATCTTTGTATATCCATTTCCATCTTAATAAAGGTCCATTACTTTTTTATGCAAGTCTTTTTGACAGTTCTTTTATGCTCCCCATAGCTCAGTATTTAGCCTGCTCAATGCATCCACATGAGAGCTAAGAATCTCATTGACTATTTATACAAAGACTTGAATTTAAATTTTAAAAGCCACAGTTGTGGAAAATTATCCTTTAATTTCCATTTTAACCTGTGTGTGGCACCTTGTGTCTGTACCAAGGCCATATATTCCAGGGTATGTGAACTTTTGATCATGGCCATTTGGGTGATTTCTGTTATCCGTATGATTTAAAAATGAGCCAAACAACTATGTGATAATAAATTGCATCATGTGATCACTATCATTAAAAAACAGACATTGTTGGGCATGATCAGTCATATTTTCAATTTTAATGCCAAAATTTCACAATTTCTGCAAGGGTATACAAACTTTTAAGCACAACTGTAAGTAAACACTTTTTAGATTTAACTCATATCTAGGGTCAAACTTGCTTCTTCCAGTAACAGTGGGAGGTAATTATCTTTCATATATATTGTACATGTTTATACACTGGCTTATAGACAACATTATTTTTTTCATTCTAACATAAAACAGGAACATACCTACACATACAAATGTGAATATACACAGGAGTAAAATCAGAATGGCGTCTGTAATGAACATCGAGCCATATCCATGGAAGAGGGACATAGAGGAGGGGGCCAGAAAGAGGAAATGAAGGCCCTCAAGGGCCCAAAGTTGTTCTGCAAGTATGTAAAAAAAATAAAATTATAAAGAATTCCTATACCTTACATCTCTTTTTAGCCTCCATACTTGAATAGACATTTTTAAATCTTTTATATAGATTTAAAAAGTAACGTTCATATTATGAATAGCTTGGTTACATTCAAAAAGTGGGTAAGACTTTAATCAAAAAATGTGGTCAGCGGTTACCAAATATCCCACATATTAGTTCAAACATCTATCTATACTGGCTAAATACCCCTCTTTGTATGTACTGTATAACTTATATGTCTCTAAAGCACCCGTATTCCCAATTCCATCATTACTGGATCACAATTCAAAAAGCCCAGTTAGCTGAAAAGAAAAAAAAATGCCAAAATTCTAGCAATTCTATGAGAAAAGCGGAGCCAGCGATAGATTATACAAACAATTAAGCAATACTGTAAAGAAAGGGAGTGATATAGAAGACCTCAATATAACAAGCATAAAAATACCTATACAATTCACCTCAACATGTGAGAAATGATGGTCACCAAACAGCCTCAGACTCTCAGGCAGCTTGTAATCCTAGGCTTTCATTCCTTCTATGTCCCTCCTGGGCCCCTATCCAGCTGCTGGAGCACATGAGGGGCAGAAACAGGTTAACAAGGACATATCACCTGGGTCAATTCATTAAAGGTCCAGACCACAGGGGTACCACAAGCATGCCTACAGGTCAAATAGGGAGCACCACCAATAGGGAGTACAAATATTTTTTTTTTAAAAAGACCGCTAAATGCTTACTAGGACAAGGAGGGGGAAGCCCAACATAGCTCCCTAGAATAAAGATCAGAGACACACAACATCACACCTAAGCATAGTTGTTCCAAGTGTGGGCTCGGGGCACCACACCAAGTCACAACTTAGAGAGATTCACTCTCACAATTCACAATCTTCGTCTGCAAACTATCCTTTTCAGTCTAGTTATACCGTATACCTATTTCACACATATGCTCATTTGAACTGTCGCTCAACCCTGTTGGAGCATGTACATCTCTTTGGAACATGTGTGGTTTCTTCTCTTATTAAATTGATTTGCAATCAATGTCCAAAACATCATTATCATA